GCTTAACAAAAGCAAAAAGTATAATATTTTTGTTGTTTTCAACCTATATACAAACGCAGGGAACAAAGCAGAGAACCAACGCCGAGTAGTCACCCCAAAGACACCGGGAAACAGAGGAGACATCGATGCCAAGACACTAATAACCTGACCACCGAGTCAAAACACACCAAACCAGCCTCTGATCCAAAAGCATAGACCACCAACAAACGYCTGGGACCAACAACAAGCACATCTCCTCGCCCAMAAGAACCCAAACTCACACCAGCAAAACATAGCCAACAAGACTCGACCCAAATTTACAAACAGCAACCAGAGCAGACCTTCACAAACGCAAAGAATGAAAACCGCATCGAACATAGGATCCAAACGAAAAGGACAATTCCATGAACCCAGTCCAAAAACAAAGTCTCCATCACGAAAAGAACCTAAACACTCCGGTGACCGAAAGCCAAACGGAAGCCAAAGAGCAAGGAAAAAAAAACTCAGACCGAGGCTAAAATCTAATCCGTGGGAGAAAGTGACAGGACACGGTTGTGCAAACCAGAGGCCTAAGGCCGGCCACAACAAAATAGCCCCGAGTTACCCCAACCAAGCCAAGGAGAGAACCAAATCTAACAACTACACACAGCAGTAGCTCAATCTAACCACGCAGAGGTTCCATCTCCTTAACACCTAGTGGCGGCAAGCCGAAAGCCACCAACAGAACCCATCAACCAAACCATAAGACCAGATCTGAGATTCAAGACCCAAAAAAGCTACAAAGGAAGACTAAACAACAAAAAAAACTAGCAAAGGATCCGTGACCGGCGCTAAAGGAGCCGCCGGCCACCGGAAGACCAGATCGGAAAGTTGAGCTCGAAGGGAGAAATCGCCGCTTGCGACCGGCCGAGATCGCTTTTTCGACCCAACCCCCGGAGAATTCAAATATGCAGAAATCCATTTACCTATTTATATGGGAAAAAGCCCAATTGGGATTACCGACTTTAGAGCACAACTATTTAATTGGATATTCCAAACTTTTTGTGTAAAAATTAGGGTTCTTATTTTCTTTTCCGCAGAAGA